ATTACTCGTTATTGTACATAAATTAAATTATAAAAAAATTGAATTAAAAAATTACACAAAAAAATAAGGAATTTCAAATAGTTAATTTGATACTAATATTGATATATTTTTGTCAAATTTTTATGATATCTTCAAACATATATTTTATTCAAAAATAAAAACATCATCGCTTTCACAAAATCACATAAAGCCATATTATAACATCGACTGAGATAAGGAATAAAATGAAATATTAAAATCATGATGTATCTCGCTGCATTGTGCGAGTACGCTTCTAGTAATTAATTAATATAAATCATACCGTATTAAAAAAATTGATACAAATACCAAGTCCATCCATTTTTTACATTTTCATTATGTAATTTAATCTGATTTTAGTATAAATAAATACAGCCACGTCTAACAATAAATTTAAAACCGATTGGTTGATTCCAAAATTTTCACATCCATCAAACCCTTGAGTATATGATTGAACCGGGATGGACCGAGCCGAACCATCCACATCCACCCCTGGTTTCTGACGGTCGAACCCGAGCCTGAGCGTCAGCTTACGGCTTCACCTACGTCTGCTACCGTAAGCTCGGATGTCACTTTTATTGTCGTCTTCATCTTGCGTTTCGTGGGTGTCTGTACTCTGTATTATCCTCTTTCTTATGGTTTTCCCTTTTGTCTCTGAGAAATACTTTCTGCTACTAAAATGGGGCATCAACCCGTACTTCATACTTCAATTTTTGGAGGTAAATGCTCAGATTTTAGCCAATTAGTATCATCTTCCTGCTCTTCTTAAACTTTTTGATGAAGACAAATTAATATTTGATTGTTATTCTTGCTATTTGTGTGTTCGTTAGTTTTCCTAACCATTGGTTTCTCCTATCTTTTTTGTCTTCTGATTTGGTTTGTGAATTAAATAATAACTTGTACTCTTTCATGAATTTGAGTTATGGGTTTGTTTTGTGTTGGATAGAGTCATAGAGACCCTCTTCTTCTTTGAACATGAATCCAAAGATATTGTTCTTGAATTTAGGGAAGAATCCATGATGCATCTTTAAGAACCATTTGAGTTTTTTCCAAAATACACATTTAAGTCTGGGACAACAATTTTGTCCAAGAATTTATCCAAATTCTTTTGATTAGACATCCTCGTTCTTATGGTGTTGTTGAAATTTTCGTGTGACAAGAGCTGTGAACCTGAGGACACTTGATTGTTTTTACTGTTATGTTGGACCCTTGATTAATTTCAATCACTTTCCTTGGACCTGATTGGAAGATACCGTTGAAATTCTAATAATTGTTAATAATTGGTAGATATACGAGAGGCTTTAAGTTCTTGACAAGTTAAATAACTACATTTACATATACTTTATGTCCTCATTATTCAAAAATATTAATTGGAAAATGATAAATTTATGTTTTTCAGTGATCTGCCGGTATAAGAAAGTGATTTTCCAAATTTGAAAATTGATAAAACAATTTAACATCTACTAATGTCAATGGTGTAGATGGTCTAGGAGTTTGCTTGCAATGACTTAAAAGAAATTAGAACATGAGGCGGACGTATACCAGTTTTGACCTTTTAGGTAGGTAAACAGGTGTTTTGTTTTTGCAGTTGCTTAGACCAAATTTTGGGTTTAAGCAGAACCGAATTGATTAACTGTTTACAAGATTAGACCGAACAGTCTCAGCTTGTCAATGGAATTTTCATTTTCTTTCGTCAAATTGTGCATTTCAGGAAGAGTGTCCTAAAACAAAATGTGACATGTCACCTCAGCCTTCCTCATAGTTTTTGTTGCTTGGTCAATCGTCCTGTTGGATCAAAATTTCTCAAATGATCGTATTAATTGTAATTTATTATATACATTATGATGTGGAAAGATGCATCAAAGATTGGTGCACTATAGATACAATTTAGATGATTGATCTAAAAAAGGGTCCGGAATACGCTGTATGATGCATCTATCAAAAATAAATTATCTGAAGGGTGTTGTGAGTTGAGTTAGAGATATGCTGTAAATAATCTAAATAGAAGTAAAAAGAACAACAAAGGACATTTCTAGTGGTGGAAATGTAGACATAACTTTGGGTAGGAGACTTTGAAGTTTTTAGGAATCAAGATTGTAGAGTATATACCTTTTTCTGCTTACGTGCTTTTAGTTTCTCCCTCTCTAATTTACCCTTATTGAAATATTCTTGTGACATCCATCAATCAATTGAAGTAGTTTGGGACAGTTGCTTTAATTGGGTAGAAATGTAGAAATCAGTATGGTGCAAGAAAGATGGGCTCTATTTCATTTATGTTGTTAGCAAAAAAAAACTGAACACAAAAGATGGAAATCATATTTTGTTCTTTATATAACATAATGCAAGTCATTAGGGGTCACCTTTATTTGGCGAACGTTCATATCTTTTAGCATATAAGAATTTTTCAACCATAAGGAACATTCGAAGATACTTGACCATAATAACTTTTTGATTATTGGGAGACCGGATATCATTTGTTATCAACCTCATGAAAATGATAGAAAGAACATGGATATTGGATCATATAGAAGTTTTTCACAAAATCACTCCCAAAGGTTTAGTAGGCATGGCAAAATTGATAATATGTTTCATCTATTTTATAGGTGGAGTAAAGTTTCCTTTGGAACCTCCTGTGGGCAGGTGGGAACATCATCATAGTTGGATATCACTTATGAGAAGTCAATTATTCCGGAAACATCCGACTTCATTTAGAAAATGTTCCACAGATTCTATTTCGTGTTTGTCTGAGCATTTAAGTGCACCCTGCAAGACAAATGAGAGTACAGCAAAAGTAATTTATAGCGTTGCTCCTGCAGTGGGTCATAACAAGGTGATCAACCCGGGTTCTATATGTCATTATCTTCTGCTCATGTACTTGCTATAAGAAATTTGTTCTACTAACATTTATATACATCAAAAGTAAATCACTTTGTTGCCATCGAATCATTCAAACAGCAAAATAGGAAGGCATCCCAACGTGCTGAGTTCGTTTTTATTTTAATTTTGGCTAATTTGAAGTTTGAAGTTTGAAGTGATCCTTCTCAAAATAATGTCATGGTCTGCCCCATGAAAGAAGATTGCAAGCTTTGTCTTTGTTTAAACCATGTCTTGACATATGTTTCTTATCTTCTCTTCATTTTATTGGCATGGGTCTCTTATAGGGCAGTATACTTTTCAAGTTGAATACCTGCTTTTTTCTTCAAACAATAAAAGATGTCTGAAACCATGAATTCCCAGGTGTCACCCAACCTACTACTTTTGCCCGAGCATGCTTAACTGCAGGGCTTCGATCTAATCCAATGCATTAGTGCAAGGCTGCTAGCATGATTGCACACTTGTTGTTCTTTCCACCCTCCTATTATTTATACTTCTCCTAACAACCGACTTACTTATTGACTAGCCCCCCACAATTGGCTAATTGACCAGCCCACTATTATTCCTACTATCTATATATGTATAACAGAAACTCTATATCGGAGTGTTTGAGCAGTGATAAAGCAAGAGTAAATCCTTGGTATTTTGACCTAAAGCAATGGTAAATATTAGCCCCATATTAGCTCCCATCTTTTTTGCATTGGACCACATATTTCATGAACTATTTAAACATGATAAGATGTAAGAGAAGCAAAAAAATGCTAATTTAGTCTGGGACAAAGATTGCATCATGTGACAAACTGTATAATAGTGGGTTCGGAGTTATGCCAAACCTTGGAAAATCCTTGCTGACCCAACAGTCGACATCAATGCAATCACATGTAAAAACATTAGCTATTCACGTTGCGTTGGACCATATTCATGAATGAGCTAAACATGGTGGCCACAGGTTTTTCTGCCGTTCAGGATTTGAATCTTACTGCTCATATAAGATACACCCACTTATAGTGGTGACTGGAACATTCATTTTATATTTCTTATTTACATCTTTGGATATATTCAATGCTAGTGGGTTATCGTTTCTCAGACTGGATGACCTGTTATGCTACCGGCTTAATGAAATTCTTATTTCTGCATTCACAAACGATAAAAGTTTCCATTTTTTCCGGTCACATATACAGGAGTTATCGTCTTATTTAGTTTTCATGACTTGCCTTTGTTGTATTTTATGTTTTTGTTATGTCTAGAAAGTGTCTATTGAAGAGACTTCATCAAGTTTGACATGATATTGGTACCAGGAGGCACATCCAGAATGCAGTTCAAGGATTCCTGCTATTGTGAGTGCTCTTGAAAAGGTGGAGCTCACTCCAAAGGTAAAAATGACAACATTCACATTTAATCTTGCCATTCATTTCGAAGATGATTCCAATTTCAATAGGCTGCAATTGTGTCCGAGTTTTAGTTCAAATGTTTTATCTATCTACAACTTTGGATCAATAGCTTCAATTTTTCAAGTAGATTGATGCATGCTCTATGCATGGTAACATAGTTTTGATTTTGCAATATTGCTCTGTTTACACTTATTCAACCATTTATTTAAGAGGAAAAGGTCTTTTTGCTGCCTTTCCTCCTCTAGTCCGAATCAAGATGTCTCCTCTCGATCTTGTGTTTTCTTCCATGGATTCTTTGTTTAAGCAACTCAAAATTAAATCAGAATCTGATTCAATTTGCAAATCCTTTTGTGATTGCTAGATTTGAGAATGGATATTCGATTGATGAGAAAAGGTGATGAACTTGAGACAGTGGTTGGGAGAAAGATTTCTCTTGTGTATTGATATCACAGTTAAATGTTACGAATTTGAAGAAACAATATATACTAACAACTATCTAGAAATTACGGAATAGACCCTGAACTATACAATAGGTACATATATACTAACAACTATGATCAAAGAGGAAGTGTTTGGGAGATGGTTCTTACTCTGGAACCATGCTTGTATTTTAGTTTATACTGCAAATCATCTATTTGCATGTCTGAAAAATCTATCTCCTTTTCAGTTTCGTTTAGATTGGTTCAGATAAGAAACAAGTGGACGAGGTTTGAGATGGCTAGCATGTATGTATGTGGAAATATTGATCTTATAAGAATATGTTAGGATCCAAGTGCTTACCACTACGCCAAAAGCAATTGCTGATGGAGAAATGCAACTTATTTTCTCATAGCATAGCAGTCAGTGTCACATTTCGATTTAGGAAGATGTTGGTCAATGACCCCACGATCCCCCCCCCCCCTCGAGCATCTACTAGCACTAACAAGATTTTCGCTAGAAGACAATGACCGTACAACATGCCTTTGGCATTATTATGCACCTCATGGGATTCGAAATCATGACCTGCTCTGATACCACATTTTAGGATCCAAGCGCTTACCACTACGCCAAAAGCAATTGTTGATGGAGAAGGCGCAACTTATTTCCTTGTAGCGTAACAATCAGCGTCACATTTCAATTTAGGAAGATGCTGGTCAATGACCCAACAATTTTTTTTAAAAGATGAATTTATGATTTCAATCAAATGTCAGTTACATAGTACCAAAAAGCTCACCTTTGTTTTTTCTAACTACCAAAACACTATCATCATCATGTAAAACTTAAGGCAAAAGCAATTTCACTTTGCTTTGCATCTTTCCTTGTTTATATACACCATCATCATCCATATCACCAAAAACCAATATTTCCAAATCAACAGTAAAACATCACACTATTCACATTTTCATGAGTCATAGGACATGCCTTGCTTCCGCTATCCTCTCCGTTGTCGCACGTTGCCCATGTGATTCACTATCAGAAAACTCACCTTCCATGTAGTACCGAGCTCGAAAAGCAACCAAATGTGCATAATATGCAAGAGTGCAATGGAGACAGATCTGGAACACCTTGCATACGTGTAGCATAAATTGTTAGTCAGCAATTCCAATCCATCAGTAGTAAACTTGTTTTCATCATACAACACATGATAGTGCGTTGGACGACTTGTTCCCTGAATACCACATAGAAACCAAATTCTGCTGGATGACAAACTTTGCGTCCACCACAGTCCTTGGAAGAATATTCCCGCTCTTGTCGGTGCTTTGCCTATCACCATGCCTCGCAGGAAAGAATCTTGTATGATGTCTCTTCTGAACAACAATAAACGTAACAGGCGGCATATAGTTCTCCTGCGATGACATGCATGCCCTACGAATTGTCCATTTTGCTTAGCAAAACTCGTTAAATTGTCCTTCACTAACACCATCTCTACAAAATATAATCCTGTGATGTTTATGCCCAGTTGAATTCTTGAAAGATATCAGAAGCTCCCTAATCAAGCCTGCATGAACAACACCCCTTTTCGAATTTGTAGAGTACATAAAAGATTGCTTCAATGAGAAGTCTCAACTCTGAACACTTCTCTCTAGAATTCTGAGAATTCATAATTCAAAGTTCGACAAGATGAGATATTCTCGAAGTATAACTCTGAAAGAGTTAACTTCAGAGATCTGAACTTTCAGAATTCAGAGTTCGATGCAAGAAATTTTCCAAGTCAAAAAGTTTGAAAAGCCTGAAGAGCCAAAGGACAAAAAGTCTGAAGTACAAGAGATCAGAGTTAGAAGATTAACTCTGAACGGGCTGAACTTAGACGATTTACAGAATAAGGCTTCTCAGAAACGACGATTATCTCTATGATGATAGAAATCGTGTAATAGTTTGATAGGCCTGTCTTTCTTGTACAACAACTGTAATCATTCTTTGTCTGTATAGATAGGTTGTTTGTTAGTCATTTATAAGTACGATTTTTACACTTGTAATTCGATTTGTCAGATTCACAGATTCTTATGATTCTTTTGTTGTAATCACTCTTTCATAAGTTAATATACATGATGACTTCCCCAAACTTGTTTTTTGTGTGATAAATTCTATGTTTGAGATCTTGACATTCTCAACGAGACCATATGTTGGTATCAGAGCCATTGACTTTCGATTTTTTTTTTGATTAACCTGGATATCCAACCCGCTAAGCGAGCCGACTAATCCCAAGGCGACCACCTGCTTTGCAGATAGCCCGGAGTTACCGCATTTGAACCTCCGTGGCCACAAGGGGATTTTTATTTTTGCTTGGATTTGAACCTGAACCTGCCGGTACTTTTGACCTTTGGAGCCAAGCTCAAACCAATCAGGCACCACCCTTTCGAATTTTGTTCTTGATTCTCCTATTTCTTGATTCTTCATTTTGAATTCCGAATTGTCAATTCGATCAAATTCATTCTGTCAAGATGTCGAAAGAATATGTGAGCATAGGATCTGAAACTAAACCCCCTGCCTTGTTTGTTAGTGAATATCACCCGTGGAGAATCAGAATGATTCAATTCCTCGACAACATTGATGAGGAATTGATGAATTCTATTCTTGATGGACCTCTCGAAGTGTTCATCGAAATTCCTGCTGTTCCCAGAACATAAAATACTCTGGCTATTCCTACCTCTAAGATTTGAAAGGATCCTAACGTGTACAATGGAGAAGAGAAGAGCTAAAATTGACAAGAGGGCTCTAACACTTCTAACCATGGTTCTTCCCAATAATATCTTCAACAGGGTGGACAGTCTGAAGTCTGCCATAGCCATGTGACGAAGTTGAAGCCTAGATGCAAGGAGGTGAAAAAGCTGTGCAAAACAAGATCAACATCTGCATAGCAGCGTATGAAGGATTTAAGGCCAAGGAATCTGAATCCCTTTCTGATACTTATAGCAGATTCAATGATATTCTGAACGACCTAAGGAGGAATGGTGTTCAGAAAATCAATTCAGAAATCAACAAGTTTTTGAAAAATCTAAAACCAAAGTGGGATACTTTTGCAGATAATCTTCTCACCAAGAATTTGACAAAAAAGAATATCCATGATATCTTTGGCATTCTAAATCAACATAAGGAAAAGGTTATTGAAAGAATGTCTGAGAAGAAGAAGGTGAATGATTCTCTTGCCCCTGATGATAGAAAATATAAGACAAGTTCTAAGAGGGCATCAAAGTTGGTTGAAATTCTAGAGTTAGATCCTGAGTCAAATTCTGACAGTGAGAGTTCTGACATAGATTTAAAAAGGATTGTTGAAAATTTAGCTCTACTCACCAAAGCCTTCAATAAAGGTTTGCGGAAAAAGGTCAAGGCAAATCCAAAGGTGATTACTACAAAAGGGGTAATGGTGACATGAAGCATAACTCTGTGTTTAAGAGCTTTGAGAAGAAGACTGAGAGAAAGGAAGAGAAGGAGAAGGTGAAAGAGAAAGTTGAAGAAGTGCCTAGATGCTTCAATTGTGGCAAACCTGGCCACTTTGCAAAAGAATGCAGGTTTAAAAAATCCAAAGATTCAGATTACTTTCCAAAAAGTTAAATCTTGCAAAGAAAAAGGAGCAAGGACAGGTGCTCATGGCTGAGGAAGAAAACTGGTTGGAATGGTCTTCTTCTAATGAGGAAACAAATCATTATGCTAGATCTTGCTTTTTGGGCTCTGATGATCAATCTGGCATTTCTGACACAGACTCAGATGATGAGGTACAACAAACTCTCGACTCTGAATTACTTGTTAAAATTGAATCCATGAACTCTAAATTTGATGATCTTAACTCTTAAGAAAAGACTCAAAGGCGAGAGAATCTTGGTTAACAATTTCAGAGAAGAAAAGGAAAGTTACAAGTTGAATTATTTGAATGCTGAAAAACATAATTAAAATCTTGAGAATGAAAAATCCAGTTTGTCTGAAAAGATATTTGAATTAAAGAAAGATTTTGAAAAGGTTAAGATAGACAATGATGTTTTAAAAGTTCAATATGAGTTTATTTCAAAAGAAAGGATTGATTTCTATATAAAGATTGAAGAGTTGGAGGAATTAAATTTCAAAAGAGGACAGACTGAACAAACACTAAATTTGTTGACTAGTAATCCTACGGATACTAGATTCTACAATCCAAAGATGGGATAGGCTTAAATGAAAATTCTGTTTTGAAAAATGTACCAACAAATCTTTATATTTTTCTAAATTGGGTGTTTCTCAAAACATTTCTGAAGACTTCAAAACAAATGTCTGCAAATCTAGTGGAAAGAATCCCTCTTAAGTGTTTTGTAAAGCCTGGATCATCTTCTGAAGAAAAAGAAAATATTTGTGAAGAATCCAATTCTGCAAAATGTACTGTTCAGAGTTACATAGATCAAAAGAATTTCAAGTTTGGAATAAGATTTGACTACTCAAACTTGAACAAAAGTTATGAGAAAAAACCATACTTTTCTTACAAGGATTATGAATGTTGTGGACTATTGTTCAAAATTTGAACCTAAATCTGAAAGTGATATTTCTAAGGAAGTTCAGATTTCTGAATCAAATGTTCAGAGTAACGAAAACTCTGAAAATAACTCTGGAAATCCATCACAGGAAGAAAGTTCTTCACAAACTTTTTCTAATTCTAATTCTCTTAATCAAAATGATTCAAATTCCTCCAATGATTCTGAAGTTAACAAATCAACCAAATTGTCTGAGTTCATAGATAATATGACTCAAGATAAATTTGATGAAATGATGAATAAATCTGATTCTGAATATAATGGATATCTTGTTTACAAGTCTTTAAATGGTTTGGTTGAAGCAAAACTTCCAGATGAACTTTTTGGTCCTGTTTTCTTATAGAACAAATATTACTCAGGATTGAAATGTTCAAGTTTGCAAAGATGTAAATGAAGTCATCTGGAAACTCATTCAAATCCAGAATTTGTTAAACAAGATATTGCAAAGTCATCTGTAGTTCCCATTTCTGGTTATAAGAATGAAATGAGCATAATGCACAAGAACTTGAAAAATGTCAAGTCAAAAAAATCTGATTCAAAATCTTCCTCTATTTCAGATATTGCCAAAAAGAACTTAGTCTGGAAAATCAAAAAAACAGGCAAAGATGATGACGACAAGAAAACTGGCTGTTCCTATTGTAAAATCAACGATCGTAAAAACCTTTGAAAACAATGAATAAAAGAACATTTGTTCCTATTGTACATCTGGTTCATAATTCTGTCAAATGTATGTGTGCTGATATGATTTCTTTGCTTAAAAAACATGTTCTTTGTATTCATTGTGGACAAAGTGACTTCAAATCCAAACCTAAGTTGATTAATAGGAACAAGAAATCATCTTCAAAGAATGCTAACTATGAGAAAAGAAAATTCAATTCTGGAAAGACTTTCTATGCTAAAAGGAATCAACCAAATTTCTTGGCTTAAAAAACATGTTCTTTGTATTCATTGTGGACAAAGTGACTTCAAATCCAAACCTAAGTTGATTAATAGGAACAAGAAATCATCTTCAAAGAAAGCTAACTATGAGAAAAGAAAATTCAATTCTGGAAAGACTTTCTATGCTAAAAGGAATCAATCTCAAAAAGGATATAATCATTCTCTGGATTACAATATGTCTTTTAGCAGTCCAATAATGCAATGGCAACTCAAGCCTTATTCTAAAGTAATTCAAACTAAGTCTGGAAAAAGGATTGTAAAAATCTGGAAACCCAAAGTTAAATATGAATTTTATGGAGCTAAACAGAAAGGACCCATTTTCAAATGGGTACCTAAAATTGAGTAATTTTTTTTGCAGATCTGGTTATATGTGGATCTTAGATTCTGGATGTTCAAGGCACATGACAGGCTTTAAACAGTTGCTGTCCAACTTCAAAGAAAAATATGGTGGCACTGTTAATTTTGGGAATAATCAGAAAGGCCTTTATAAGAGGATATGGTATGCTAACAAATGGAAGGGTCACTATCATGAAAGTACTTTATGTTGAAGGATTGAAACATAATCTCTTCAGCATAAGTCAATTATGTGACAACCTATTTGATGTTCACTTTCACATTGATGGGTACACTGTGAAGGATCCAAGTGGAGTTCAAGTCATTTCAGCTCGAAGAGATGGAGATCTGTATTCTGCCTATTTTCCTACTCTGAAAAGTTCACAGGTTGTGTGCTTAACTTCCAAAACTGTTAATGAAGAAGGATGGATTAGGCATAAGAGGCTTTCATATCTGAATTTCAAATCAATTGATTTACTTGTGAAAAATAATCTGGTTAAAGGGTTGCCTTCAATCAAGTTTGAAAGGCATTCACTATGTCCAGCTTGTGAAATGGGCAAAATGAAGAAAAGTCCACACAAGATCAAGGTTGAATCATCATATAAATCTCCTCTTGAGCTGTTACATATGGATTTATGTGACCAATGAGAATTAAAGTTTGAATGGAAGGAAATATATTCTGGTGATTGTAGATGAATTTTCAAGATACACTTGGGTAGAGTTTCTTAGGCAAAAATCTGAAGCAACCCAGATTATCATTGCATTTATTAAAAAGCTTCAAGTCTTCGTGCAACTCACTGTTCAAAAGATAAGGAGTGACAATTGAATTGAATTCAAGAATGAAGTTCTTCAGAGTTATATTACTTTTGTGGGAATTTCACACAATTTTTCTGCTGTCAGGACTCCTCAACAAAATGCAATTGTAGAAAGGAAGAATAGGACTCTTGTGAAAGCAGCTAGAACTATGCTTGCTCATTCAGACTTACCAATGTTTTTATGGGCTGAAGCAATATCTACTGCTTGCTTTACACAAAATAGATCTATAATTAATAAAAGGTTTTCTAAAACTCCATATGAACTCATCAATAAAAGAAAGCCTAACATCAAATTTCTTTACGGAGTTTTAGAAAACCTTTTATCAATTTTCTCTCGCCTTTGAGTCTTTTCTTAAGATCATCAAATTCAAAGTTCATGGATTCATTTTTAACAAATAATTCAGAGTCAAGAGTTTGTTGTACCTCATCATCTGAGTCTGTGTCAGAAATGCCAGATTGATCAACAGAGCCCATGAAGCAAGATCTAGCATAATGAGTTGTTTTCTCATCAGAAGAGAACCATTCTAACCAGTTCTCTTCCTCAGCCACGAGCACCTGTCCTTGTTCCTTTTTCTTTGCAAGATTTAACTTTTTGGAATAGTAATCTGAATCTCTGTATTTTTTAAACATGCATTCTCTTGCAAAGTGGCCAGGTTTGCCACGGTTGAAGCATCTAGGCACTTCTTCTTCAACTCTCTTTCACCTTCTCCTTCTCTTCCTTTCTCTCAGACTTCTTCTCAAAGCTCTTAAACTCAGAGTTATGCTTCTTGTCACCATTACCCCTTTTGTAGTAATCACCTTTGGATTTGCCTTGACCTTTTTCCGCAAACCTTTATTGAAGGCTTTGGTGAGTAGAGCTAAATTTTCAGCTATCTTTTTTAGCTCTATGTCAGAACTCTCACTGTCAGATTTGACTCCGGATCTAACTCTAGAATTTCAACCAACTTTGATGCCCTCTTAGAACTTGTCTTATATTTTCGATCTGAGATCAGGGCAAGAAAATCATTCACCTTCTTCTCAGACATTCTTTCAGTAACCTTTTCGTCATGTTGGATTTAAAATGCCAAAGATAGCATGGATATTCATTTTTGTCAGATTCTTGGTGAGAAGATTATCTGCAAAAAGTATCCCACTCTGGTTTCAGATTTTTCAGAAACTTGTCGTTGATTTCTGAATTGATTTTCTAAACACCATTCCTCGTTTTGTTGTTCAAAATATCATTGAATCTGCTATAAGTATCAGAAAGGGATTCATATTCCTTGGCCCTAAAGTGTTAAAAATATCAAAAGCTTCTTAATCAAGCATGCATGAACAATACCCAACAGAATATATGAGGTTGTGCTTGATGCTTGGAAGAAATTTATATACGCTAACTTAGGGACTACTACTCCAGCCGGGAAAATGGGTGTACGCAGTTAATGAGAAACACTGTCCGGTGACAATATATATATACACACACACACACACACAAAAACGAAGGATTGTGTGAGAATAAGAGTTAAGGTGAGAAGCGTAAGAAGGGATCTGAACTGTTGATCACTTTTAATATCACCCCCAACCCATGAATTGCGCTTGATACATGAATTGATCCGGTGCATCTCATTACTGTTGATCTTCAATTAGGATTGATCCAAGGGTGGAGATCCCTTCTTACCCTTCTCACCATAACTTCCATTCTTACCGGAACCCAACCCTAGAGTAAAATTGTAGGCTTCACATCTAGCTTAGGATAGTGGGTATGATGCCATCTGAAGTTTGAAACTGGGGACAAGATTTGTTTGTGGCACCATGTTATGAAACTATCCACAACTAAGATATTGAAGTAAATAGTTATGGTGTTAACTTTTTTGAACTTTCTTTATGCTATAATAAATACCTTCTAACACTATGCAAGAAGATGTCATTAACTCCCTTCTCTGAAAGCATATAAAAAATTCAAGAATAGTTTCTTGTTTACACTATGTAATTCTAAAATTGAATTGGTGGTAGAGGGGGGCCTTTATCTAACATGAACCTTGTGATCATGCATGACGAAATGAGATTTTGTTTTTACTGACATGCAATCTATATGCTTGCAGTTTCGAGGATCTGAGATCATTCAACTTCAAAACTTTAGAACCGCTACACCAGAAGATATTGCAAGCGTACATGCTAGATCTTACATTTTTGGCCTTGAGAAGGTGATGTACGTTTTCTTAACATAAACAAAAGCACAAGAGGAGAGGATTTCTAATTTCTAAAAACTAATGTTTATATTTATTTGATGTCAAGTAGAATAGTTATCCATTCATGTAGAAGGGAAAGCTATGATACTTAACATGTCGACTCATGCAACATTAATATTTTCTGCAACTTTTTGTCATCATATTAACTTTCACACACTGTTCTCAAGCTGGGTTGCTTCACGGAAGCAACCACTCTACTCTTCGGGGTAGAGGGTAGGTCTGCATACATCATACTTCCTCGGACCCCACCTCTAAGTGGGATACTGGATTTGGTTGGTTTGATTTTATGTGTACTTGCGGTAAATTTTTACTGGAATTGATGCATCCTCTAATCATCGTCTTATGTTCCTTGTAATTTCTATTGTTTAGGCAATGGAACAGGCTTCAGAACAGGGCATTATACACATAGATGGTTCCGGACCCACATACGCCACCGCTACAGTAAGCCAATTTGACAAAAAAGTCCCTCAAGCTGTTGTGCATGCTCGTATTAATTTCAGTCAAAAAAATTTAATTGGATTTGTTAGGGATTTTGCAGCACATCATTGAATTTAGTTTATTTCATACCACATATTAGTTATATATTTTTTGGATTACAAAATTGTTTAGTTTGTCTTTTATGGTTGACTAGGTTTATGTATTTTATTTTATATTATTTCTGATCCAACATTGCTTTTCCAACTTTAAGGAGCCCATGAAATGCTGTTTGTCTTTGTGCAAAATCAGTTTAATGTTTCTATTAATGTTACAAAGAAAACTCATGAAGTTTACTAGCAACTACAGAACATAACTAGTTGACAATGATTGCTTTCTAGTGAAATCTCTAAACTTCATAGTATAAAGACATATTCAAGAAGGAAAGAGACGAGGGCAGATTAATAAGATAAAGATAAAGCAAGTCTTGGATAAGTCATAAGTCCTCAAGTTTACATATAACTATCTTATGTTTATTTTAATTGTTTTATTTGTTTTTCTTTAGGATCCGTTTTATTCTAGGAGTCTTTTACTTATTAGTTTAAATACCTTCATTGTTTACCTTTTTGGAATATAGATCAATTTATTATAATTCAATTCTCTACAATTGAATAGGGAGAGACTGCAGCTTCTCGAAAGCTGTAGGGTTTTAATACTCTAATCTTGGCAACCTTTTATCGACTCTTATTAAATTGGTATTAGAGCCTACCGTTGCTGTTCTGGATTAGTAATCGTGTTACTATCCACGAATTACTGTTCACGATCACTGTTCACGATCACTGTTCACGAATCACTGTTTACGATTACTATTCACGCGATAATGACTCGATAAACAACATCGAGGATGGACGAGGTGGAGGGAAGCTTGGGAACGGTCCAAGCGGAGGTGAACTCGCTGAAGGACGATATGCAAAAAGTGATCAAACAAATGGAAACAATGTTGATAATGCAAGAAGAAGCGCTTAGGAGAAGGAGAAGGAGAAGAGCGGGGGAGAGGATGAAAACTAAGACAATGGACAACCAAAAAAGGCGGATTATCGCGTAGACAAAAACTATGATAGCGGTCGGTTTCTTGCGATAAGGGGGAGGAAACTTGTAACACCCTAGTTTCTTTATTTGATAAATCTCAATATTTCAGCCTTAAATGCAAATATTTATGAATAATTCAAGTGCTCCAGCAGTTGTTTCATTTAGTGAAACATCTTAATTATAAGACTAAGCAAGCTAGTGATGAGTTGTTAAGGGTAGAAGTGTGTTGGCAAGTCTAGTAAGCATGACTAAGCAATCTAGTGATGAGTTAAGGCTAGAAGTGTGTTGGCAAGTCTGGTAAGCATGAATAAGCAATCTAGTGATGAGTTGTTTAGGCTAAAAAAAATATGAGTTGGCAAGACTACTGATTACAAGACAAGTCTAGGAAGCATGACAAGGAGTACTAGAAGCATGAGTTGTATAAATTCTCTTATCCTTAGAGATGAGTTGTCAAGATTCTCTTATCTTTATTGATGAGGTGTCAAACTCTCATAAGAGTACAATCTTGAGAGCAAAAAGAACAAGTAGTTAATGCAACGAATTTATCTATAAATAGGGATTTAAGGGTCACTATTTGTGCATACCAAAAATAAGAAATCTCTCTATATATACATAATTAAGCTTGAAGAAAGGAATCAAAGGAAAAAGTAGGCAAATCAAGGTGAGTACTTATGTGTTTTATGAGATACATGCATGCTATATATAAAGGTATTTTATGCATTACAAGTTATGTTGACATGCTTGTTTTACATGAAAATATTGATACACATACATATTCAAGATATGCATGATGACATGTTCTAATACAAGTATACACACAAGACATGAAAATCATTTACATGTTATCATATGTGTTGCACAAGGCATAATTTTTTTTACATGTTATGTATTAACCATAATATCCAACGTACGGGATATTACAAGAAGGGACGTCTTGCAAACGGACCTTATAGGGTAGCCTTTTATGGACCCGGGTTAGCAAACCTCAAGACAAGTATGGTATACATACATGTGACAAGTGAGATCTCAAAAGAATGGTTTATGCATGATAAAGAATAGTATCTTATGAATGTTTATGCATGATAATAAAGAATACTTTTATACATGATTAAGAGCTTTAATGAATTATCATTCACAAAATATCATGAAAATTTCCCATTCATGAAACCATATACTCACTAAGCTTATAGCTTATATATCTCATGTATGTATCTCAGGAAAGAAGTAAGGAGGATTTGCATAAAGTAATATGGTTTTAGTCAATAAGCAAGTTTTGTTGTAATACAAGCTATGGTTACATTTCCGCTAAGTAATTTCTTCTTTGATGTAATTTCAAGATATGTTATAAATAAAGCTGAATTTCAAGTTCAGATTCAAGATTTAATAGTTTTATCATGTAAAGTAACGGCATGCAATATATACAAGGACGTGGGGCGTTACAAAACTAGAGTTACGTGTGTTCGAAGGGACAGACCCAGACGGTTGGGTATTGAGGGCAGAAAGGTATTTCGCTCTTAATAAACTAACCAATGAAGAAAAACTAGAATTCTCGGTCATTGCTTTTGAGGGTGACGCCTTGCTGTGGTTCCAGTGGGAGAATAAGAGGAGACCCATTAGGCTATGGGAAGAATTAAAAACATTACTGCTTCATTAGCGGGGAAGTGATCTTTGTGTGAGCAATTCTTGGCTGTTAAGCAAGACTACACGGTGGTAGAATACAAAAGAAGGTTTGTTATGTTGGCAGCCCTGTTAGAAAGGATTCCGGATGAAGTTTTCGTTAGTCAATTCTTAAACGGGTTGAGTCCACAAATCAAGGTAGAAGTCCGCACCCTCGCACCGGTGTGATTGGGAAAGGCCATGGAACTAGCTCAGAGGATAGAAGAAAAAAAACAATATTTTAGCAAGAATAAATAACCCAAAAGATAGCTGGTTGAACAAGTGTAATGGAGAAGGATCTGTGGGAAACAAGAGGTTTGTTGAACCCTCCAACAAGAGTAGTGGAAAGGGAGGACAATCTGTTGGGGAATTCAGAAGGTTGTCCAATCAAGAACTTCAACAACGTAGGGCTCTAGGTTTATGTTACAGGTGTGATGAGAAGTATTCTCTGGGTCACCAATGCAAAAAGGAGCTTAGTGTGTTGGTGGTTCAAGAGGCGGAAGAGTACAACGTTGATGAAGATGCGAACATGGAGGAGATGAAGGAATTGGCGGGGATAGAAACGGGAGAAGTAGAAGTATCATTGAATTCAACAGTAGGACTCCCAACAACGAAGATTATGAAGCTAGAAGGAGAGGTAGAAGGCCAAAAGGTATTTGTTTTAATTGACAGTGGGGCTTACCACAATTTTATAGCCACAATGTTAGTTGAGAAACTCGGGTTATCTACAAGAATCATAGAAGAATATGATATCTCAATGGGAGCGGGAGAAGCCATGAAGGGACAGGAAGTATGTGAAGGGGTGAAGCCAAGTATGCAAGGAATTGAAGTTGTGGAAGAATTTTTGCCCATTAATTTGGGAAACTCAGACGTAATATTAGGCGTTAAATGGTCGGCCTCACTAGGACCAACATGGGTGAATTGGCAAACCAAGTTATGAGATTCAAAAAAGGAGGGGAAACCCTAACCTTAAAAGGAAATCCAACTCTTGGCAGATCCCTAGTATCATTAAAATCGATGATGAAGACACTAAGGAATGAAGGTAAAGGGGTGTCCATGGATATGACAAAAGTTGAGGCAATGCTCAAAAGGCCAACACCAAAAACTGTAACACAACTAAGGGGATTTTTGGGTTTAACCGGTTACTACAGAAAATTCATCAAGGGATACGGGCATATTGTAAGGCCTTTAACGAATTTGTTGAAATAACAAGGATTCAAGTGGCAAAAGGCAGCTGATGTGGCCTTCGAAGGATTAAAGAAGGCATTGACTTCAGCCCCAGTTTTGAAGGTGCCAGATTTTGGTCAGCCATTTGAAATTGAAACAGATGCATCAGTCCAGGGAGTTGGGGCAGTATTAATGCAAGGGGGACAGCCGATCGCATACCACAGCCAAGTTTTGAATCAGGTTGCTCGACAGAAACACATATATGAGAAGGAACTCATAGCCACGTATTTGCTGTAACCAAGTGGTGAACGTACTTGATCAGAAGGAAGTTCGTTGTAAGGACAGACCAACAAAGCTTGAAGTTTTTATTGGAGCAAATGTTAAAAGACACAGATGATGCAATTGATTTGCTACGAATGTTCTTAGTGCAAGCACAACACAAAATGAAACAACAAGCTGATGGGCATAGGATGTAAATTTTGACATTGGAGATATGGTTTTCTTGAAGCTTAGGCCTTACCGACAGAAATCTTTAAGGAAAAGCAACAACCAAAAGCTGTCCGCGCGTTTTTATGGACCATTTAAAGTGGTAGGCAAGGTGGGAATGGTGGCTTATCGCTCGGAATTGCCAGCATCTACACGACTCCATCCAGTGTTTCATATCTCTCAGTTGAGGAGAGCAATCGGACAGTGTGCCTCGTCAACCATATTGCCAAATCAATTGAATAACGATATGGAAATGATAGTAGAAGGAAGATGTCCTACAAGTACGAACAACACACAAGATGGAAGACAAGAGGCATTAATCATGGAAGAATTTATGTGTGTTTGAAGCCTCCTGGGAAGATTGTGAAGTGTTGAAGATGCAATTTCCCCTCTTTTCATCCGGAGGACAAGATGCAAGTCTTGCCCGCCGGGGGGGGAGGGGGGATTGATAGACTTCAGAGTATGAAGACATATTCAAGAAGGAAAGAGAGGAGGGCAGATTAATAAGATAAATAAAGCAAGTCTTGGATAAGTCATAAGTCCTCAAGTTTRTATATAACTATCTTATGTTTATTTTAATTGTTTTATTTGTTTTTCTTTAGGATCCGTTTTATTCTAGGAGTCTTTTACTTATTAGTTTAAATACCTTCATTGTTTACCTTTTTGGAATATAGATCAATTTATTATAATTCAATTCTCTACAATTGAATAGGAGAGACTGCAGCCTCTCGAAAGCTGTAGGGTTTTAATACTCTAATCTTGGCAACCTTTTATCGACTCTTATCAAAATCATGCAAATTGGGAATTTTTTTTAATGAGAACTCTTGTTGTCTTTATGGATTCATTAATGATACATTCTTTGATCCACTAATCGGCATCCTGTTGAAGCTTGATTCTTATATAAAGTCGGCTATGGTGCTATTGATCCTCTTTAATTTGGATGCAGACATTTCAGGAGTCATTGGTTGCTGCTGGAGCAGGCCTATCCTTGGTTGATTCTGTGGTAATGCCTCAACTCTATGTGCTAGTCGCCACTTAATTACTTCCCATTCTCTTGTCTCTGACTAGATGCACAAAAGCCCGAAAAAGCCTGACCTGGGCCTAGCAATCCCAAAGCCCAGGCCCACACGAGGCCTAAAAGCCCGATCGGGCCTAGTTATTTTTTCAAAAGACCGGAACAGCCCCGGCCTGAAAAAGCATGAATGGGCCCATTTTTACACACAAAGCGCTTTTTCTCTTACTAATAACGGGGCTTGACTGGCCCAAAAAACCCAGGCCTTGTGCATCTCTATCTCTGGCTGTGTGACTGTGTTGCTGCTACAGATTTTGCTGTTGTAAGAATTGTAGGTTTATTTGTTCTTTTGACCGGAAAGAGTTTCTTCTTTTTGATGAAATGGTAGGTGGCTGCATCAAAAATCAGTCAGAACCCTCCGGTTGGTTTTGCCTTGATACGACCTCCTGGACATCATGCCGTTCCAAAGGGGCCCATGGGATTTTGTATTTTCGGTAACGTGGCTATTGCAGCTCGATATGCCCAACGTGTCCATGGACTAAGGCGTGTTTTCATAATTGATTTTGATGTTCATCATGGAAATGGGACTAATGATGCTTTCTATGATGATCCAGACATTTTCTTTCTTTCGACTCACCAAGTAAGTGGCAAACATTTGTATATTTATTTTTGTAAGTGGATTTAATTTCTTATATATCCCCGGACCCTATTTTCGAGTGGGATTTAGTGGTTTTTTTTAATTTTCTATACGCATGGATGCTTCTTTAGTCTTATTTGATTGGTACATCATTTGTTGAACTTGGGCTGTTATCATCACATGGGCTCTCAATGTTTTTCAGGTTCATTAAAGAATCACAATATTCTTTTTAGTAACCATCGGTGTCCGGGCCAGCTTGTGTGTGCACCTCAACTAATCCCATAGGGCCTGAAAGTCCTGAAAATCCCTAGTAGCCTTAAGGGACTCGACCTATGGGAGGAGCTCCAAGGCTTTTAGGGGATCCGGAAAATTCCAAGAGTGTTTGTTGACACACAATTATGGTTACCACGAACACTATTAAACCCTCCAAGGTGGTTAACCGGAGACACAACTCCCTTGTGGATGGGGCCGTGGCTGTCCTCTTTGGAAGGGGGAACTTTGCCCGGTTCAAATCTGGATGGGTTCTTTTCCTTTTAGGAGATATATATATATATATATATATATATTATTGAGATATTATTATAATTTTTTTTTAGGATATAATTGATTGATTAGCAATCCTTGACTGTAGCTAATTGATTATCAATCCTTAATTTATTTCATAGTTTCTGTAATTAGCTTTCTACATCGTGTTATATCCTTTCTGAACGAGAAGTAAAAGGTAACCTTTTCACAAACTTCATATTCTTTATATGGTATCAGTGCAACCTGGTCCACAACCATGTCTCCCAAGGCCAAAACACCAATGCTTCCGCAACTCAGATCCTTTTCACTGCTGCTGGCGGTGCCTCTGCCACTCTCCAATTTCTGGCATTTAGTTGTCCGTCTAGATCGGTCCAACTACTCACTCTGGCATGGAACCGTTCGCTCCATGCTCGAGGCTTATGAGCTCGACTCCTTGGCCTCTGGCACTGTTCCATCACCAACGTTGCCGCCCAAGCAAGGCTCCACCAATTCCAATCCGAACCCAGCGTCCCAGCCTTTGCGGCATGGAAACGCAAGGACAGGCTTGTCCTGTTATGGCTCCGTTCGACACTCACCAATTCATTACTTGGTCATGTGGCTCGTGCCACTACCACTTCCGAGGTTGGCTTATGCTCAAGCAGATGTTTCATGCACAGACTACTGCAAGCCAGATGCACCTCAAACAACAACTTTAGACACTTATGAAGGGTACCATGTCGATTCTCGAATATGTCGAGAAGAAGCGTGCCATCTCGGATTCGTTGGCTAAATGTCTGACGATTGTCCCAAATGACGCCTTTGCGTCCTTTCTTTTGTTTGGCCTCGGCCCAGAACACGGGCCTTTCAAATCAGCCCTCAGCATTCGTGTCGAGCATATCACCTCCAACAATTTGCTTGGTCTTCTTCTTCGTGAAGAGCAATGCCTTGAAGAGGACAACAATGATGCCTCGCTTTTGTCTTCCAACATCGCAGCCAAGAGACCCTTGGCTGGCCGTTTGTTCAGTAATCTGGGCTCGGCACCTCCCATTGATCGCCCCAAGTCAATCTGTCAAATCTGCAGTAAACCTGTACGATACTATAGGTTTACATACTCCTTAGCAGTATTGCTGGGTGACACGTGCCGTGGGCATATGATAACTTACAGGGATGGAATAGGCTCACAAGTTGGTGAAACTATTTCGGGATCGTGGATAACAGGAGTACTTGGGTAGTGCTCAGGGACAGAAGTGGAAGCTAATATAGATAAGTCAAGTAAAAGATCTTCCAGGCTACCCTTATCTTCCTTTCGATCTTCCCCTTGAAGATAAGGTTGGGTGAAGTAGGGATTATTGTCGCTAAAGGTTACATCCCTTGACACAAAAAACTTTCTAGATGGGGGGTAGTAACATTTGTACCCTTTCTGGGTTGAGGAATATCCCAAAAAAACACACTAGAGCCCAATTTGTCTTGGCTATGGATGTGAACAAATAAAATACATCCAAAAATATGGGTTACAAGATTGTTGGAAGTGGACACATTCGGGTAAAAGGAAGAAAGTACATTCATAGGACTTTTGAATCCTAGAACTCGGGTAGGAAGTCTATTTATAAGATAAGTTGTTGTGAGCACTGCTTCTCCCCAAAAATGTTTTGGAACGTTATTTTTTGAAATAATAATGCTCTGGTTTGATCTAATAAATGCTCATTTTTCCTCTCTGCCACTCCGTTCTATTGAGGTGTTTTAACACATGAAGATTCTTGAATTATTCCTTTTTTTTTAAAAATAGGAGGTGAGAGTTTGATTGAAAAAGTATCGAGCATTATCGGATCTTATTTTTCGAACTTTTACTCCAAATTGATTTTTTACCATCGAAATAAAATTAGGGAGAATAGTGCTAGCATCAGACTTATGTTTTAATAAGAACACCCAAGTAACCCGTGTGCAATCATCAATGAAAGTCACAAACCATCTTGCACCCAACACATTGGAAATATTAGATGGACCCAAATATCAGTGTGAATAAGATAAAAAGGAGAGTTGCTTCTTTTATCACTGATAGGAAAAGGGATACGCTTGTGTTTAGCAAGCTCACATACCTCACAATGAAGGTTTTCAACATCGATTGTGTAACGCAATCTCTATATAAAATGGGAACCGTAACTTTACATGTTAGACTTTCTTGAATATGAACTTAAAAATTTCTCTTTATTTAGTACATATTTTGAATATACATCAAAGAAGAAGCTACTTTAGCGGAAACGTAACCATAATTTGTATTACAACAAATCTTGTTTTAAAAACTAAAACCATTATACTTTACGCAAATCCTTCTTACTTCCTTCCTGAGATACATACATGAGATATATAAGCTATAAGCTTAGTGAGTATTTATAGTTTCATGAATGAGAAATTTTCATGATATTTTGTAAATGATAATTCATAAAAGCTCTTGATCATGTACATAAATATTCTTTATTTTCATGCATAAACATTCATAAAATACTATATTCTTTATCATGCATAAAACATTCTTTTGAGATCTCACTTGTCACATGCATGTATACCATACTTGTCTTGGGGTTTGCTAACCCCCGGGTCCATGAAAGGCTGCCCTATAAGGTTCGTTTGCAAGACGTTCCTTCTTGTAATATCCCGTACGTTGGATATTATGGTTATACATAACATGTAAAAGTTTTCATGCCTTGTGTAACACATATGATAACATGTAAATGATTTTCATATCTTGTATGTATACTTGTATTAAAACATGTCATCATGCATATCTTGAATATGCATATATATATATATATATCAATATTTTCATGTAAAACAAAGCATGCCAACATAACTTGTAATGCATAAAATACTAATATAAATATAGCATACATGTATCTCATAAATCACATAAGTACTCACCTTGATTTGCTTACTTTTCCTTTGATTCCTTTATTCAAGCTTAATTAGATAAAGATAGAGAGATTTCTTACCTTACACCCCTATTTATAGATAAATTCATTGCATTAACTACTTGTCTTTCTTGCTCTAAAGATTGTACTCTTATGAGAGTTTGACACCTCACTAATAAGGATAAGAGAATCTTACAACTCATGCTTCTAGTAGTCCTTGTCATGTTTCCTAGGCTTGACATGTAATCAATAGTCTTGCCAACTCATACACTTCTAGCCTTAACAACTCATCACTAGCTTGCTTAGTCATGCTTACTAGACTTG